ACAATCACTTGTGTCTGTGTTATATCGCGTCGGATATACTTATGTTCAGTTCTGAGAAGTTCGGTTGTTGGAAGTGACAGGTTCTCAATAAATAAATTTTCTTATGAGGACCTTGGACAACGCTGAGATTACCCCAGCTTTAAACGATCCAAGAGAAAGATTCATTATAAACCAATTGATTTAGTTAATGCAAAATGTAGTAAGGCCGTAACAAATGCGCTTAACGGTCTAACCATATTTATCCATGTTTCTCTTGGCAGCCAAAAAATACCTCGTTTAACGGCCAAAAAAATTATATAATTTATTTATAATATTATTTTGCTTATGTATAGTATATATGTATATAGTATATTATAGTATACATAGTATATAGTATTATATAGTATATATAGTAAATTATTGGTGTGCAGACAAAATGCCTATTAAGAAAGATGATTTTAGTAGCACTGAATCAAGGTGTGTGTTTTTGTGCAATTATCTAGAAATGCATTGTGTGTTTAATGCTCACTGTGTTAAAAGTTGTTTATACCCTATTAACTTAGTATGAAATTAAAAATAGCAAAATCTTGTTTGAAGAATGGTTTCATACATATTTCTATCCAAAAGGTAAAACACATTTAGAGAAGCACAATATATCTTATAAGGCTCTACTGTGGTTTGCAATTTTTCAAAAAAATGAAAGCGGAATCTTTGCCAAAAAATACCACGGCTTTACTTTAGGCAATAGGTCAAGGTGCTATACACACTTTTGAAGATGCCAAAAAAGTTTCTGAAAAAACCACTACATTAAAGATGACATAGTAAACATAGATTACTCATGAAGAGAAATACAAATGTTATCCTTTAACAAGTTTCGCAAGTCTTTATGGTCAGAACGTTATTAAAATGGCGAGGCTGGTTTTATTGATTACATTGTAGATGACGTCAGCCAACTTTTAAGAAATGATAGAGATCAGCTTACAAATGAAAAATTCCTGAAGCTAGATGATTCAGGAGACTTCAATGAGGAAAAAAACAACCATATTAGATAATAAGAATAAAGAATAAGAAAGAACAGGATACAAGCTCCCATTTGAGCAGAGCACCACGACCATGATTGATCTTTTGTGCTACAACAGACCCTAACTAAACAAAGGACATTCCGCCTTTCGAATGAAGGCCAAAATGTCGGTTGCTGAGGACCTCCTAATGTCGTAAGGTGCTAGCAATTCCCGACCCAGTGATCTCTTCCTGGCCCAGATCAAAGCTGGGCAGTCACATAGAATGTGGCTGGTTGACTCCTCTGCCTCCAAGCAGAGTCTACAATCTATCTCTTCGGATAGGCCCATTTGGTTGAGGTGGTAACGTAGCCCATGGTGACCCGATATATATCCCACTAGCAACCTCAACTCTGTTTTGCTAAAGGAGGATATTTTATTATAACTATAGGGGAGAATCAGCTCTTTAGCCTGACGGTTACCTCGACTGTCGCGCCAGTAGCGACTTCTCTCGGCAGATCAAATCCAAATAATGATTAGAGACCTAGTTGTAGATCAACTTAATCCACAGAAAGGTTCTGGGCCACAGATTAGAGTGGCGGATCCTGCCCGTGCATGACTATCGGCAGACTCATTACCGTTAATTCCTGTGTGACCAGGCACCCAGCACAGTGTCACTTTATTATTGCTTGCCAGCTGCTGCAGTGTGTCATAGCAGTCTGCTAGAAGTTTTGAGAAAAACTTCCAGGAGCATAACGCTTTGATTGCTGCTTGACTATCTGAATAAATACAGATCCGGGCGCCTTTCAACCCCTTGTTAATGTTGATACGAGCGCAGAATTCGATGGCGTGAACCTCTTCTTTGACGACAGTGGGCCATATATACAGCGCGAGCGAGATTCTGGTGTTTGGACCAAATATTCCAGCACCAACTCCTTCTTTGGGTTTCGAACCATCAGTATACCACGATATCATTTTTGGTACGAGTCCACGAGTGCCATTTACCTAGGCCAATTGATCGGGTATGAGGACTTCGAACTTCCTACCGAAGCGAAGTTCCATGTTCATGCGATCTGTCCTATCGCAGATCTCTATGCCAGGAACTAGTCTTCAGATACAGTTTTGACTGACGAGACTTCCGTGCATGTTGATAACAGGGTGTAGCCTAGCTGCACTCATAGCTGCTGTCTTTTTAATAAAGAGGTGCAGAGGGGTGAGACCCACTATGGACTCCAGTGCTGATGTGGGACATGTTCGAATAGTTCCCGTCATAGCGATGCATACGAGTCTTTGCAGTTTATTGCATTTGACAATTGCAGCATTTTGTTGCGCTTTATTCCACCAAACAAGAGCTGCGTAGGATACAATGGGTCTGACCATTGTGCGGTATAACCATGATATAATTCTATATCATAATAGAAATATGCCCCAGGTTCTACCATATGAGGTCCTACATGTCCACATGACCCGGGTGGCTTTGCCAATTATATTATCCAGGTGAGTGTTCCAGTTAAGACGCTTATCTAGGATGACCCCTAAATATTTGACTTCATCGGAGCATTCAATAGCCGTACCTTTAATAGATAGGGACCCAATATTTACTTTGTACCTTTTGGAAAATGGTACAATTACCGCTTTTTTGGGTTAATATTTAGGCCTTCTTTGGTACACCAGTTCGAGACTTCGTGTAATGCCGCCTGCATTACATCTGTAACTGTGGTGTCAAATTTACCTGTGACAATGATTGCCAGGTCATTTGCGTAACCTATGGCATGATATCCAGATTGCTCCAGTTTAACTAGTAAGTCATCGACTACCAGCGTCCATAACAATGGTGAGAGAACCCCACCCTGGGGGCAGCCTCGTACAGCATTAATGCTGACGATAGTGCTACCTAACTTGGACGATATGTTCCTATCACGCAACATTCTATCTATCAACGTTATTATACATGAGTTTATATCTTTACGGGCCAGTGCTCCAGATATGGATTCGTAAGATGTATTATCGAAAGCTCCCTCTACATCCAGAAATGCACATAATGCGATCTCTTTAGATTGAAAGGTGCTTTGAATTTTGCTGACTATATGATGCAGTGCGACCTTTGTAGATTTGCCTTTTGGGTAGGCATATTGGGTGGAGTGGAGTGGGACAGTTAGTTCCAATTTATTCCGTATGTGCAGATCAATCAGCCTTTCGACGGTTTTCAATAAGAAAGACGCAAGACTAATGGGTCTGTAGGACTTAGGTTGGTCCATCGGTTTATTACCAAGTTTGGGAATAAAGATCACGTTCACTCCTCTCCAGGAATGTGGGATATAACCCATAGTAAAACAAGCCCTAAAGAGTTTGATTAATGGGTCTATAATGATATCTATGCAATTCTGTAATAGAGCAGGATAGATACCATCGCCTCCAGGCGCCTTAAATGGTTGAAATGAGCTGATCGCCCATTTCACCTTATCCCTGTCGAAGTAAACACCAGATAGTGCGTATTCCTGACATGTAGGTGCAGTAACTTCCCTATATGAATGTGATGTTGATGGTCCGGTAACGGAGCCAGGGAAGTGTGTTTGCAAGAGAAACTCGAGGGTATCTTTACGACCAGTTGTGAAGGATCCGTCGGGTTTTTTTAAAAGGCCTACTTCATTTGTTTTGGCCTTATTTAAAGCCTTGTGTAGTCTAGCAGCTTCAGGCAACTTATCAATACTATCACAATGGCTACGCCAGCTGGCCCCTTTGGACTGTCTGATTGAATTGTTGTAGTCGGTGAGTGCAGCTCTGTAATTTTCCCAACTAGCAGAGCCTTTTGCTCTATTGAATAAGCTCCTTACTAGTATGCGCTTATTAGCTAGTTGCGAGTTCCACCAAGGAACCTTACCTCTAATTGAAGCATTGCCTGCAACCGTGCTGTTGTGAAAGGAGGTTAGTAATATCTCACCTAAATGGTTTGCGGCCAACTCTATCTTTTCACAAGTTCTTAGTGGCCTAGCTAAAAAAAAATTTTCGGAACCCAACAAGTCCCTGTACCTAAGCCAGTTTGTTTTCTTTGGCTGGTACGCTTTATTTTGCTATTCGGATATGCCGGGAATTTCAAACCTAATATGTTGATGGTCTGAGAGGTACACCTCGTCCGACACATGCCAATTCCATATAGATTCCTCAATACCTCTGGTGCAAAGAGTGAGATCTAGTACTTCTTCTCTAATTGCATTAATAAAAGTGGGTTTACTACCTTTGTTAGCGATACTTAATCCTAGCGACATAATATAATCTAATAGGTACTCACCCCTTTTGTTGTCGTTACTGCTCCCCCACACTGTGTGGTGAGCATTAGCTCACAGCCCAAGATTAGCTGCCGCCCAGTGGACTTGCAGAAGTTGATCAGCTGTTGGACTTCCGATGGTGGAATGGTTTCTTCATTACCTGGGAAGTAGGCAGAGGCCATGACAATATCCGTCACCCCTCCTATTGCAGGTACTTCAACTAGGACCGCAACTAGGTCTCTAGAAATAAAGTTTGTTAGCGGAAGATGTTTTACGTCTCCACCGATTAAGATAGCTGAACGTGGCACTGCTATCGATCGGTCATAAACCAGCTTACCTGATTTTGAGTTTAGACCCCGAATGTGGCCACCGAACACCCATGGCTCTTGGATAAGTCCTAGAGCAATGTGGTTGGTTTGGGCAATTCTGCACAGGGTGGCTGATGCTCCTTTAGCATGGTGCAGATTTGCCTGGAGCACTTTAAAAGTGCTCATTAGGTCTCGTTAAGAGACTTTCGGACGAGACCATCGCGTTTGTCTCGTCGAGAACCCTTGTTCTTAGCACCCTTTGATTGCACCGGTAAAATTTTACCGCCTAAGGGTGGTTTAATGGTAGCGGTCCTTGGGTTACCTGCTACTTACT